GAAATTAAAAACAGACATTTAAATTTTATTTATTTGTATAGATTTTTAAATTAGTAACCCCCGGAGAAACTGTCTGCCTTTTTGTGAGAATATTTTATTATACATAATAAACACGCTGTAAAAATGGCAGACTGAATCAAACACTTTTTTTGGAATTTTTGAAAATACAACTTTGTGGTCGTCTGCCCCTATGTAAACCCCTTCAGAAGTGTCTGCCATTTTTTTTCTTAATTGTTTATAAACTTAGCTAACGGATAGTCATTATTATTATTTGAATCAAACACTTTTTTTTGGGCAAATTTTTTTTCGACTTAACTGTATGCGCAGTACCAGGTGTACCCAGGTAGGCCAGGCAGACAGTCATATACCTGCTTATTGAGTCGACTGATACCTTTAAACAAAGTTTCATGATGCATCAAACACTTCATGAAAAATGCGTCATGAGCTCTCGGACCATAACCCTAAACATAAAGCTAGACATTTTTGACGTAGGATGTAGTTAACCGCTTTAAATTTTCAATAGTTGCAAATACTTGATTCCAACTTTTTAAATACTGACTGATTTTAAATCTGATTCTGAGGATTGAACTGGACTAGATTTAGTCGCCACCAATCCAAGACTTTGTCCAGCAAAGACTCGACTTCACACACAAGTTTGTTCCGTTACTCGGCGACGTTTTCCCGAGAAATATTGGCACGGCCGGAGCAACCTTGATGCTCTGATCTACAAGAAAGCTGGTGATCCAATTGCATAATTTCTCGGGAAGCCCATAGGAAGGGAGCATCGAAAGAAGCGCTTTGTGCCAAACCCGATCGAAGGCCTTCGCAACTAAAGGCCAATGCCTCCCGCTTGGACTCTACTGCCTCCGCCCATCTATGAGTTAAGTAGACCAGAAAATCACCAGCTGATCGACCCCGACGAAAACTGTATTGGCGGCCACTAATCAGCTGGTGATCCTCAACGTACCGCATGAGGTGGCAGCTTATAACGGATTCCATTATTTTGGAGAACAAGAAGGTGATGGCGATAGGCCTGTAGTTGGACGGGTCTGAGCGGTCGCCTTTTTAGGGATCGGGTGGACAAAAGCTGTTTTCCATGATTTCGGGACTACACCTAAGGAGTAGGAGTACCGGAAAAGACGCGTTAGAACCAGTGCCAACTCCGGAGCACACGTCCTCAGCACAATTGGGAGAATTCCGTCAGGCCCACTCGACTTGTGGATGTCCAGGGAGAGGAGTGCTCTGCGAACTGAGCGCTGTGAGAACCGCACATCCGGCACGGAGTACTCACACCGCGGGATGGTCTGCGGGTCATCCTCCTGTCTCCCCATTCATTCCGGTCCTCCCCCCGTCATCAACAGTCGAGTTAGACGCAAAAAGGGAGCCTAAAGGTTGGCTTTCTCTTTTGCGTCGTGGGCCAGTGAGTTGTCCTCCCTGTGCAGAGATGGTAGTGATGGCAAGAATTTTCAGAATGTGTTATTTTAACTGATTGTCATTCATAAATATCTAACGCCTACTATTTTATCACGAACTTTCGTAAGGGTCGCTAATAAATCTCACAAAGAGAAGCGCGCAGTTGTTGCCCATAAATTACTTTCAATTTACGATAATTTCAAATACAAGTAGAAGCCTTATAAATCGTCGTCGTATTTTCAAAAACTGCAATAACCATATATCATTATTAATATGTATACTTAAACATAAATATAAAATTTGAATAATCTTTAAAATATTATCCTGTAAATAGAAGATAGATAACATTACAACCCTTTACAAGTCCACTGCTGAACATAGGCCTCCTCAAAGGAATGCCAGTTAACAGTGGTAGAGCCACGCGGCAGCTTTTGCTGTCGCACGGATGGGCCGGCTCGAACTGGGGTAGTACCACGACCTCACAGAAAACCAGCGTGAAGTAGAGGTTTACCTCTGCGTTTCGCTTGGTGAGTGCAGGTGGCCGGAGGCCCCTTTTACTGGAAATGAGGCATTCCATCTTAGTCCTCACGGGTTACAACGCATCTACATTTTGATTTGTAACAGAGGATAGATGTAGATGTCTATGGGCCGCAGCAACCACTTACCATCAGGTGGACTGTGTGCTCGTTTGTCACCCTTATCCTATAAAAAAAAACCTGCAATCATCGACTTCCTGCATGTCTTACCAGGTCGTCACTCTTATCTTGTGGGGGGTCGCTTGAAAACCTTTTCCCCATCGGTTGTCAGTTCTTCGAGCTATATGGCCGGCCCATTGCCACTTCAGTTTACAAATCCGTTGGGCTATGTCAGTTAACGTGGTTTTATTGTGGATATCCTCATTTCTAAGTTTATCATGCATAGAAACCCTGAGCATAGACCTCTTCATAGCTCGCTGAGTGACCTTAAATGTTCTCATACGGCCAGCAGTGAAGGACCACGTCTCAGATCCATAAGTCATCACTGGCAACACGCACTGGTTGTACAATTGCGTTTACAGATTTTCAGAGTTGTATACCTGACGAAAAGATGTATCATATCTCCCGAACGCTGCCCAGTCGAGTTGAATCCGTCGATTGACCTCTCGGTCGAAATTGAACTTACCTAGTCGGACTATTCGTCCCAGGTAAACATAATCGTCAACAACTTCGAGCTTAGTGTCCCCAACCACTACCGGGTATATAGGTATGACTTAACTTTTGTTTTGTCCATGTTCACCTTAAAACCTATCCGTTGGGAGACACTGTTGAGGTCATTGAGCATAGTGCTTAGGTGCTCTGGCATTTTGCCATATGGACCATATCGTCGGCAAAAGGTGATTGATGTAATCGCCTTTGATGTTAATACCGTATCCTTTCCAGTCCAGTAGCTTGAAAATGTCTTCCAATACAGCGGGGATATAAAGTCACCCTATATTACACTTCTCGGCAGTTGAATAGGTTTAGTACTCTGGTTCTGTACTCGAATAGTCATTGTAGCCCTACTGTACAGACACTTCAGCATTTCAATATACCGACAGTTAACTTGACATCGCTGAAAAGACTGTAGCACCGCTCAAGTTTCAACGGAATCAAAGGCTTTCTCATAGTCCACATACTCAAGGCAAAGTGGTGGATTGTACTCTTCGGTCTTCCTGTACAATCTGCGATAGCATACAGTCAACTGAACAGACAGATCACCAAATGCATGCGGCGGGACGTACGCAACTTTAATACTGCTCGTACTGAAGAAGCAAACGAGCGGAATCACGGCTCCAAAGTCTATGCTAGAGACCTGTCTGCCAGAAAGAGTCAACTGTCGAAGCTGAGAACCGAGTGTGGCAGCGTCGTTTCCAGGACACCTGAGATTTTGAGTTAGATTGAGAGGTTCTATGGACAGCTGTACACATCATCGTTGAAACCCCATGCAAGTGTGAGTAACGATCCAAGAGCAAGTCTTATCCGACACTACATATTCCGATAATATACCGAACGTCAGTCTGAGTGTGATTAGAATGGCTCTCCGGCACCTTTAGAACGGCAAGGCCCCAGACGAGGATGGAATTACAGCGGAGCTTCTGAAAGCGGTACTTGTAGTCCTTAAGAAGCTCTTTAATTCCGTTCTCCATGGTGGCACTAGACTGGAGGCGTAGAGCATAAGTGCGGTGGTCTTGTACTTTAAGAAAGGCGACAACGCTGTATTGAAGAACATACAAATAATACAGACCGGCATCACTTCTGAGCCACGTCTACGTGCTATTTTCAATATAGTCATTACGAATCGTCTCGCATGCAGACTCGACGAATTCCAGCCTCCCGAACAAGCCGGTTTTCAAACAGGCTTTAGCACCATAGACCACATACATACCCTTCAGCAAATTGTACAGAAGTCCGAGGAGTACAATTTGCCACTATGTATGGCGTATGTGGACTGTGAAAAAGCATTTGATTCCGTAGAAATTAGGGCGGTGCTACAGTCTTTTCTGCGGTGCCACGTTGACTATCAGTATATCGAATTGCTGAAGTGTATGTACAGTAGGGCTACGATGGCTATCTATCCAACTGTAGAGAGGTGTAAGACAGGGTGACGTTATATCCCCGAAACTCTTCACCACTGCCTTGGAAGATGTTAAAGGATACTGTATTAACATCAACGGCGATTACATCACTCAGCTTCGATTTGCGAACGATACAGTTTTTATGGCAGAATCGCTGGAGGTCCTTCACTGCTGGCTGTATGAAGAAACTCAAGGTCGCTAAGCGAGCTATGGAGAGGGCTATGCTCGGGGTTCCTCTGCGTGATAAACTTAGAAATGAGGATATCCGCAGTAGAACCAAAGTTACCGACATAGCCCACCGGATTAGTAAGCTGAAGTGGCAATAGGCCGGCCATATAACTAGAAGAACCAACAACCACTGGGGAACAAAGGTTCTCGAGTGGCGACCTCGTACCGGCGGATGAAGTGTAGGGCGTCCCCCCACTAGATGGAGTGACGACCTGGTAAGACATGCGTGAAGTCGATTTATGCAGTTGGCTCAGGACTGCGCTTTGTGGCATTCCTTGGGGAGGCCTATGTTCAGCAGTGGACTTGTGATGGGTTGTAATGATAAATATGATGAATAAATACATCACCTAATTTGATAATATCTTTTTAATTGATATCGCAAATCAAAGAGTAAAAATAGGAAATAAATTGGAACTGGCTCAAAGGTTAGGCACAGGCAGTCAGACACAATTGTACGTAGAAGTGTAAGCCCGATGTAGGACTACTTGCTGCAAAGTAAGCCAGAAGTCCCGTAGGATGCAAGCGTCGACGATGGGCACGGGCGGCGCGGTAAACGTGACTTCACGCTGTACACGTTCGCTAAAATTTTAGGAACAATCTAGATCCGACGTGTAAAATTAGAAGTAGCGGTGACATCTACGCGACCTTCACTTGTCTTTGGGTGTGGATCGACGAAACTTCGTTATCCAGATTAGTTTTTGCAGGTTTTACAGGTCCGGTCACGGTCGTCAATTTGTTTCTAATAGTACAATAAAAATACAAAATGGCCGAATAAAATAATTTATTGTTTAATTAACTTAAATTTACAAAAAAAAATTGATGTACATAAGTACAGTTATAGGCTGGTTGAAATTTGAGTGGGCGAGTAAACATGTCCGCTGTAAAAATACAAGTCATTATCTTGTCTGACCCGTCTGCTAATTGGCTGCCTTATGCGTGGTACCATACTATGACGTATTGCATAGAAGCATGGGGTGATAGGCTTATTATCATTTATATGCAATATATTATGTTGATTAAGAAGCAACATACTCGGCGTATTACTAGGAATTTTCCTATTCCAATGAAATATCTAAAAAAAGAATCTCACAAACTACATGTTTTTTATACTTTTACATAATAACATAATTGTACTATATTTACAACACCACATTAACTTACAAGTAAATTATAATGAAACTAAATTCACTGAGTTAATTGTTCATGTACTTTAATTTTTCCTACATTTTTCGTTTCGTTTTCAATAAATATCTGTCATCAGGTAAAAACGCAGCTAGGAATGCCGACGCTGAAACAAGACAAAATATTGTTATTTTGTAATCCTTTATAAAACTACGCCTTGAAATGGACCGTTAGTTTTGGCCCATGCATTTTGTTCTATGGAGGCTGTGAGAGGTGACAAACAAGCACACAGTCAACCAGATGGTAAGTGGATACTGTGACCCTTAGGTATCTACATCTGTCCTCGATTACGAATCAAAATTCAGATGCGTTGTCACCCGTGAGGACTAAGATGAAATGACTCGCTTCCAGTAAAATGGGTCTCCGGTTCTCTACAGTCACCATACGAAACACAGCAGCGTCAAGCTGTTATTTTACGTTAGTATTCTGTGAAAGCGTGGTCCTTTCCCGATCGAGCCGACCGATTCGTGCTACAACTATACTACTAATATAGATACAGCATGGCTCTACCTCGTAAAAAATTAAGAATATGACAAACATGAGAAAGGCTATAAAAAATTTTAGGCGGTGGTTTAACATCTCGTGCATATATATCAGATATTACTAATCTAAACGGTACGTGACGGGAACGGTACTGTGATAACCTATTTGCGGGCCGAGCGTGGCGTGCGGCAAACCGTAGGAAAAGCATATTACTAGCAGTTTATTTTTTTATAGGATAGAAAAAAAGAAATATAGACGTTTTCGAGAATGCGACAGCTGGCATGCCTAACCTAAAACAATTGCAAATACTTATCACGCTGGTCGAGTGGGTTAGTATGCACAGAAGCGATAAGAATTGGAAATACTGCTCATCTTCATTACCAATGTTAGGTATCAACCTAGCGTGATGAGTTTGCACAAATGTTTTAAGAAATATAGGTCACTCGGAACGGCCTACGACTAGTAGACTTAAGAGACGATGACGATCCATAATTTTTTAGAGTCAGAATATATATATATATATATATATATATCTACATCTATCCTCAATAAAGAATCAAAATTCAGATGCATTGTCACCCGTGAGGACTAAGATGGAATGCCTCTTTTCCAGTAAAAAGGGTCTCCGGTTCTCTACACTCACCATACGAAACACAGCAGTGTTAAGCTGGTATTTACGCTGGTATTCTGTGAGAGCGTGGTACTTCCGCGGTCGATCCGACCCATTCGTGCTACAACTATACTATTAATATAGCTGCAGCATGGCTCTACTACGTAAAAAAAGATATATATAGATACCGAAAGATAATGAAAAAGAAATACAGGCGTTTTCGAGAATGCGACAGCTGTCATGTCCAACCTAAAACAATAGCAAATACTTATTACGCTGGTCGAGTGGATTAGTGTGTACAGAGGCAATGCCCTCGCATTGGAAATACTGATTACCTTCATTACCAATATGAGGGTATCCACCCAGCGGGATAAGTATGAACAATTATTTAAAGAAATGCAGGTCCCATGGAAAGCCAGAGAGATGATGATGATTCATAATGTTTTAAAGGTCAGAATATACATATATTTTTTTATAAATCGGCAGACACGAACAAACTTACAGTTCACTTGATCGTAAGTAGCGACTGCAGCCCATGGGCATCTGCAGGCCATGGGCATCTGCAGGCCATGGGCATCTGCAGGCCATGGGCATCTGCAGCCAACTTCAAACAAAGACAGCTACTAATGCGTTGTCACTGCTGAGGACTAAGGTGAACTGCCTTACAGCCTGTGATTATTTCTGTAAGCCCTTCAGATTGTTACACAGCAGTGCAAGCTATCAATATTACAAGGAGGTTCTCTAGTACAAGACGAGCCCAGTGGCCAGCAGCAGAGACACGTATAAAGGCTGTAAATCTAACTTTGTGGACTTAAAGGAGGTTTTAATCTATACAAATAAATAAAATTGAAGTGTCTGTTTGTAATGTCAAAATTACAGTTTTTTACTAAATGCATATGAAAGTAAATACGGTACTTATAACTAAAATACAATTTAATGAAAACTATTTTTACGGATTTTATCGCGTTTAATTAACCTAATTTATATTCCCGACGTTTCGGTTGCTTTCCAGCAACCGTGGTCACGGGGGACTGAGGTGATTGACGTCCTGATGTCAGAGTTAATCCGGAGTACCTTCAGCTTTTTAATTAATAATTTTGGTCCGATCTACGCAGAATAAACTAACTGTGTACTGAAGTCTTGCAGTGGTATGCTTGGGTTTAGTTTTAATTTTATGAATTACAGGGTCCCAAGCAGGTGATAGTACCCAGCCTCCCTCTCTATTGAAATTAGGATGTTTTTTAATTTCAATAGCCTCACGTATCATCCTTGGCAGGAATCGATGTTCTTTCGCGAGAATTTGTGGCTTATCAAATCTAATGTAATGGTAGGGGCCGTCTAGTATATGATCACACAATGCAGACTTCCCGGAATGTTGGTGCTTCACGTCAGCTATGTGTTCTTTTACGGGGGTTTTTATTGATCGTTTTGTTTGCCCTATATATGAGAGACCACATTCACAGTCAAGCTTGTACAATCCTGCATCTCGTAGAGGAGTATTGCACTTGACGGATGGTAAGAACTGACTAATCTTCTTCGACGGCTTGAAGAATGGTCTAATAGAAGCTCGCTTCAAGATGTAGCCAATCTTGTCTGTGACACCTCTGACATATGGTAGTAAAGCAGGCACACGCTCGACTGTGGCCGGCTTCAATCGGTCACTGTGACGTAGAGGAACCCGAAGCTTGTTGTCGTGCAGAACCTGCTTGACGTGCTGAAGCTCGGCGGCCAGGTGTTTGCTGTCACAGATTCCTCGTGCTCTCTGTAAAGCAACCGAAACGTCGGGAATATAAAATAACTTAATTAAACGCGATAAAATCCGTAAAAGTTGTTTTCATTCAATGTGTAGTGTTCACGTAAATATAAGAAATCATTATAAAATACAATTTTTAAAATTTAAGTCTGTCTGTCTGTTTGTTCCGGCTAATCTCCGAAACGGCTGGGCCGATTTTGACGGGACTTTCACTGGCAGATAGCTGATTTTATAAAGAGTAACTTAGGCTACTTTTATTTTAGAAAAATAATTAGGGTTAGATTTTTTAACAGTGGTAGAGCCAGGCGGCAGCTTTTGCTGTCGCACGGATGGGCCGGCTCGAACCGGGGTAGTACCACGACCTCACAGAATACCAGCGTGAAGTAGAGGCTTACCTCTGCGTTTCGCTTGGTGAGTGCAGGTGGCCGGAGGCCCTTTTTACTGGAAATGAGGCATTTCATCCTAGTCCTCACGGGTGACAACGCATCTATATTTTGATTCGCAAACGAGGATAAATGTAGATGTCTATGGGCCACAGCAACCACTTACCATCAGGTGGACTGTGTGCTCGTTTGTCACCCTATCCTATAAAAAAAAAAAAAAAAAAAAGGGTTCCGCGCAAAACTATAAAAACCCTAACACGCGAGCGAAGTAGCGGGGCACAGCTAGTTCTATATATAAAAATAAAATAATCCGTACATTATGGTTATATATCCGTATATATAACTTTTATAAATTTATAATTCAGAGGTATATTTTAATTTTAGTTTTATTTGAGAACTAGGCTCCCACCCGCACCTGCTCACCTATCTATTAATGTATCGTTATTTAAATTTAACATAAAGACTTATTTTATAAAGTTTTGAGTTTTTTTTTAAATCTTCAAGTTTTTCGGCAGTCAAATATAGCTTAGATTCCTGCAAGCATTGTTCTCTCTGTTTTTCTCTCTCTCTCTCTCCCTATCTGCTGGTAAGTTTTCATCACTAATCAGCCATTACGAAGATTGCTTGGACAGAACAGATACACAGACAAAATATTTAAAAATGTTGTTTTAATTCTCGACGTTTCGCGTGACCGCCACCAGCAACGTCTCGATATCAAAGTTAGTCGGAGTATCCTCAGCTTTTTAATCATTACATTTGATCCGATCTATTAAAACATTCTACAAGCTGCCGAAGAAGATTAGTCAGTTCTTATCATACGTCAAGTGTAATATCCCTCCACAAGATGCAGGAGTGTACAAGCTTGATTGTGAATGTCGTCTCTCTTATAAAGGACAAAGAAAACGATCAATAAAAACCTGCGTAAAAGAACATATAGCTGACGTGAAACACCAACTCTCCGGAAAGTCTCCAGTTTGTGGTCATATCCTAGACGGAACACTCATACGCATAATATAATAGACTCAGTTTCTTCATTTTTATCTGTTTGTTTTCCTTTTTTTTAATGCGTTTACACTGGCGACCGTTAAATGGCGGTTTATTCACTTCAAAACGCGATTCAATTTTTAAGCTGTAAAGCCATGCTGCAGCTATATTAAGGCTGTAGCACAAATAGGTAAGCTCGACCGGAGAAGGAACACGTTGTCACACAATACCAATGAAAAATATCAGTTTAATGCTGCTGTGTTTCGTATGGTGAGTGTAGAGAACTTGAGGCCGGTTTTACAGAAAACGAGACATTCAATCTTAGACTTTAGAGACGATAACGCATCTGCTTTTTTTTCTTAATCAAAAATATATGAAGACGTCACTTGGCCACAACATCCATTTACCATTGGAAAGAAATTTTGCTCATTTGTCACGCTTGTCTTTATATATAAAATTCTACTGTCCATGTGTAAGTGACTGAACTCCTCCTAAACGGCTGGACCTGAACCGATGTCGGTGATTGTGTGTGGGATTAAGTTGATTCGAGAATTGTTTAGATTTACAATTGAACCGGTAGGTGGCGCTGTTGTCGAGATCCAGAAATCACTCGTGCGAAACCGGGGCGGATCGCTAGTTCTATACATAAAACTTAACTTTATAAAAAAGCTATGAAATCACAAAATCAGCGTAAATATTCCCCAGGCACTTAAGTTGTAATTAAATTGCTCTAAAGATATATTCTAGAGTATATTGATTTCTACGCGGTAGAGCCCTGCTACTACTTTATTGTGGTTGTCGCATAAATATCCGTTTGACCGAGAGAAGGACCACGCTCTCACAAGAAACCAGCATAAAATAGCCGCTTAATGCTGCTTTCGCTGTATTTCGTATGGTGAGTGTAGAGAACAGGAGATCATTTTTACTGGAAACGAGGCGTACCATCATAGTCTACAAGGGTGACAGCACATTTTCATTTTGGTACTTGAATAAATATAGCCGTTTATGGGCCAAAATATCCACTTACCATCAAGTTTTATACGTGGTAGAGCCATGCTGCAGCTGTATTAATAGTATAGTTGTAGCACGAATGGACCGGCTCGACCGGGGAAGGGCCACGCTCTCACAGAATACCAGCGTAAAATAGCAGCTTAATGCTGCTGTGTTTCGTATGGTGCGTGTAGAGAACCGGAGACCCTTTTTACTGGGAAAGAGCAATCTATCTTAGTCCTCACGGCTGATAACGCATCTGCATTTTAATTCGCAAATGAAGATGGGTAGATGTCTATGGGTCTCAGCAACCACTTACCATCAGGTGGAATGTGTGATCGTTTGTTACCCTTATTCTATAAATAAAAGTGGACTGTCTGCTCGTTTGTCACTCTAATTCTTTAAAAAAAAAAGAGACTAAGCGAAAACTTACAAAGAAAAATGCCACTGAATATATAAAAACCAGCATTGCAATTGATCTCGAGCAGTCGGTTGAGGATCGGTACCGAAGCGAGCATTCCAATACTTCCTCCAGTTGGTGTTAAAGCTACGGCCAGCGCCCTGTAACACGTTTGATTTAGAAGATAATATAAACTCTAAGTCCAAAGGTTAAAACTGTAATTACAAAAACCCGACTGTGTAAAACAGTTTACTGAAAATTGATTTTTTTAATATCCTATATCACTCCCACTATTAAGACGAATCTAACTACACCTCATATTAAATTAAAGTTTATCAAGCCGCTTCGGCTACAGACCTTGCCAAATAAATAGACATATACATACACCACAGACTACTAAGAGAATACTGATATACACTCTCGAAAAACATCCCCTCCTGGGGAAGTCGGGTAATAAGAATGTTTTTCTCGATATGTCTGATTAGAACTTAAAAATAGAAATACTTCATGAAGGAGTAAACAGCAATTGTTGACGCATACGGTAAGCAAGATATTTTTATAGGATAGGGTGACAAACGAGCACACAGTCCACCTGATGTTAAGTGGTGGCTATGACCCATAGACATCTACATCTATCGTCAATAAAGAATCAAAATTCAGATGCGTTGGCACCCATGAGGACTAAGATGGAATGCCTCTTTTCCAGTAAAAAAGGTCTCCGGATCTCTACACTCACCATACGAATCACAGCAGCATTAAGCTGCTATTTTTAGCTGGTATTCTGTGAGAGCGTGGCCCTTCCCCGGTCGAGCCGACCCATTCGTGCTACAACTATACTACTAATATAGCTGCAGCACGGCCCTACCACGTATAATGATATAGTATTTCTTCTTTGTTATTTTTTTGTCTGTAAAAGGCTAACCTGTCGGAGTAGCCAATGAGGTAAGAAGTCCTGAAGTAAAGTTGAATTTATTGTTTATTGAATTTATATATAATTTGGCTATGGAGAAATGTAACTCTCATTGATGAGTCTAGTTTATTTGTTACATAACCGGGCAAGAAAAACAATTTATTACTGACCTCTCAGAAAATGAATGCGCATAAAAATAAGGAATTTTAACAACAAAAGAGACTTTCATACTTTGTATTTGATTGCTTGTCAATTAACGAGTTTAAAATTTCGTGAAATAAAACCTGTATTAAAGTCATATTTAATAACTTAGAGTATTGGACAGTTCGCCGTAAATTTCACAATAGACGAGCAGCCCGGGTTCGATTACCGGTGGCACCAATGAGATTGCTTATTACAATTTCAAATGCTCATTTACAACGTTTTGGATGTTGAAGGAAAACATCGTGGATAACCTGCATCTCCTATGCTCCCTCTCACTAGTTGACCCTCTTAGAAATAAGAGGAGTCCTGTGGCCAGTTGCGTAACGTACAAAAGCCTTAACTTTAGCTTTATTTATTAGTTTATATTAAATTAAAATATAAGTGTAATATTTAAGGAACCTTACAAATTGAAGGAAATATATAAACAAACAGAAAATCACCTGAGATGTGTAGGAAACAATGCAACGGTAAGGGCCACGTACATTCCCATAACCAAGACTCCGGCCATGAAGATCATGAAGAAAACGACGCTAGCGTAGGCGTTGGATATGAGGTTCACTACGATGCCCGACATTCCACACACAACTGTAAAGTATATGGCCATGTTGCGGTAGCCAACTCTGTTCACCACCTGGATTTCAATGCAACAAGTTTTCTTTTAATCTATTTATATCTTTTTTTAGGTACATAAGTTACGTATGGGACAATTTATATGTTAACATTTTTTTTCCAAATACCAACATAACCTGGTATAATATTCCTCGTCTTCCTGACAGACGAAATCCTGGCGATCAGTTGTAGAGGGAAAGTTCGTACAAACCGGTTAGTCCAAATTCCATCGAGTGGTAAAGAGGCGCAGAATTACACCAGTGTGAAGGATACGTCCAATCCGTTAATACTTAGTCAGGTCATAAATTCTGTCACATGTTTAATATAAAATAATTGAAACAAGTTTATTCATTATGTAACCATTTATATACCAAAATGAACTTAACAAAACATAGATTCTTATGACTCTAAAGTTTATTCAAAATGACCTCCGTGATTTGGAATACAGGCCTTCAATCTGCGCGGCCAGTCGTCTATCGCAGCACGAACGAGGTCCATGTCAATATCGGCTGCTGCTTTAATCAAGGATGTCTTAAGTGACTCCAAATTGGGATGAGGCTTTGAGCACGCCTTTTCCTCCAAGTTTTGCTATACCTTGTAATCTAACGGATTCAAATCTGGACTGGAGGAAGGCCAGTCTTCGTGCCGGATGAAGTCGATTTCACGCGCCGCCAGCCAGTCTTGTGTGCTCTTCGCTCTATGAGCTGGCGCCGAATCTTGTTGGAATACCCAGTGCCTGTTATTGAACATGGTATGAGAAACAGGTTCCACAAGGTTCGTCAGTACTGTATTTTGATACACAACTGCATTCGTTTTTACACCTTTCTCACAAAAATGTACCTCTGTTAAGCCCCAATAAGAAACTCCCAACCATACCATGAGCGAGGATGGAAAATGACCTCGTTGGACACGCGGAATACGGTTGCTCGCTTCTTCACTACTGTGTGCGTACATCTTATCATTTTATTTGTTGTAGCTCTCTTCTACGGTAAAAATGTTCTACGGTAAAGATGTAGTTCAATTAAAGCAACGTCTTGAGAACTTTGAAGACTCCATGTGGGAATTTGAACAAAGGTCTCGTATGAATAACATCGAGATCAAAGGAGTACCGATGTCTCCATCAGAAAACCTTTTTGAGATTTTTAGTAAGCTTGGAAATCATATCAATTGTGTCATCCCAAAAAATCAAATTAATTACATTGCGAGGATTCCTATGCGTAACGATAAACTAAATAAAACTATTATCATCTCAGTGCATAATAGATACCTTAAGGAGGACTTCGTAGCCGCACCGAAGAAGCGCACCATTGTTCCAGCGGACCTGGGTTTAAGAGGTAACAATAGAATCTTTGTTAATGACCATCCTACTCTGGAAAACAAGATGTTGCTAAATAAAGCCAAAAAAACTAGCCAAAGAGCGGGGGTTTGCTTATGTTTGGGTAAAGGGATGCAAAATATATGCAAGAAAAAACCCAACCCGATTTTATTGCAATTATATGAGTATAATTGCAATAAAATCGGAATCCGATTTGAAAAAGTTTTCCTAGTCATAACAATTAACGCTTTGATATTGTTAGAATCATCACCCTCTTATAACTGTGTTGTAGTTAGTTTGAGAAACGCTTTCTCTCTAACATTTAAGTTTGTTTACCTGCTTGATATCGTTATGCATTCACGTACTCCCGCTGCACACTCGTTTACTCAATCATATTATATCGCTCCACCGTCTATTTGCTTTTGCATTTTTGTATCTTTTGTTTACGCTTATAGCCTTATTGTATTATTAGTTTTTTTTAATGTTGCCTACAAATTTAACATTTTTTTACTCATCTTTTCAAACATATTGCTTTACTCCGCCTTTCTACATTTATTACTGGTTATTATAACTAATTATGTACTAGTTTTAATGTTCAAAAATGGCGATTAATATATATTACCAAAATGTACGTGGTTTACGTACAAAAACTTCGGCCTTCTATAGAAATATTAACATAAACTCTTATGATGTTATATGTTTATCAGAAACTTGGTTGAATGAAAGCGTTAAAGATAGCGAATTATTCGATGATAGGTACATATTTTGGTGACGGGATCGAGATTACAAAAGAATCAATCAAACATTGGGGGGTGTTAATTGCTGTTCGCCGGGACCTCTCAGCAAAAGTTCGTAGTGATTGGTGTTCGAATGCCGAGGACTTATGGGTAACATTGACACTTAAATGCCGGAATCCTAAGATAGTGTATAAACTGCATATTTGTACGGTATATATATGTAACCAAAGCGTATTTTGTTCACTACCAACTCAGTTAACCGCATACTCCGAAAAACTTTGTGATACAATAATAAAACATTCTTTATCAGAAGGCTTAATGCCAAGAATCTGGAAATCGGCTTATGTAACACCAATTTACAAAAAAGGACCAAAAGATCAAGTTGACAACTACCGACCTATTTCCAAATTATGTCTATTTGCAAAAGTACTTGAAAGAATTGTCTATGATCAACTATAAGCTGCCCTAAAACATACACTTAGGTTTCAACAACACGGTTTCGTCAAGGGTCGGTCAACAACTACTAATCTTATATTATGTAGTGACTACTTATCAAAACATATGTCAGAACCCTCACAAGTCGATGTGGTCTACACAGACTATAGCAAATACTTTGATCGCATAGATCATTTGCTACTATTAAACAAAATTCAATCAGTAGGAATACGAGGTAATTTATATCGGTGGTTCACCTCTTACGTTCAAAATCGGAGTCAGACAGTTGCCCTAAATGGTTACACCTCTAAGGTCATGCCAATACCATCTGGTGTCCCACAGGGCTCCTTGTTAGGGCCTTTACTCTCTAATATTTTTGTTAATATATCATCACATGTTTCAAGTACTCAAAAATCCTACTTTACGCCGATGATATGAAAATATTAAGTCCTATAACGTCCTTCGAAAGCGCATATCATTTGCAAGAAGACTTGGATAGGTTTGAAAATTACTGTCTATACAACAAATTAGACTAAAATATTTCTAAATGCTACATTTGTACATACACACGGAAGACTAAACCTATAATTTTCCGCTACACTATAAAACATATAGATATAACTAGAGTCAACACTATCCGCGATTTAGGAGTAATTTTTGACTCCAATATTGACAATATTATAAACAAAGCCTCTAAAGCGCTTGGCTTTATTTTAAGAATGTCTTCTGATTTCAATTCTATTAAAACCTTCAAAATTCTTTACTGTGCTTTCGTACGAAGTCATCTAGAGTATGCCTCTCAAGTATGGAATCCTACTTATAATATTTATTCTACGCGTATTGAACGGATTCAGAAAAAATTTCTTCGCTATCTTCAATTTAGAGTTAAGATCTTTCTACCGGATTACACAACACGTTGCCGAAAGTTTCACATTTTGCCGCTATATGAAAGAAGGCGCATAGCGGATCTATCTTTTTAATTAATATAGCAAATAGCACGATCGACTGTCCCGAACTATTGGAGCAAATACGTTTACAAGTTCCATACGCATCTTCACGCAAGCTATGCAAACTATACGTACCGGGAGTAAATACAAACTACAGGCAAAATTCTTATTTATTAAGAGTGAGCAAGTGTTTCAATGACGTGGCGAAAATACAAAATGTAGACTTATTTAACACCTCCAGCAGGCAGCTTAAGCATCTACTGAGTAATAACTTTTTCGTTTACTGATGTGTATTACATATACCATGCATTGTTATTTATTTCATTTTACTTCTTAAATCACCTTTTATTGTGTAATTAAATCTACGTCTACGTTACTTGTGCAATTTTTCTCTGTACTTTATTTATAAATGGGAACTTTTAATTGGCCTTCAGTAAATTTTTTTTTATTGTTCATACATTTATAACTAGCTGTAAGTTTTCCTAAAATAGTAATAAATAAATAAATAAAATGTTTTCATCCGATATTAATTTCCCGATATTTTTTTCCCGCGTACCGCTTCAACAAAGCGCGGCATCTCTTCAGTCTCAGGTCCATTAGACGAGCATTCAAACGATGTCCTATTTTTCTTCGATATGCCCGAAGCCCTAAGTCTTCATTTAACACCCTTTTCACCGTGGTTCTGCTTAACCCCATCTGAAGGGCCAGCAGTTTCTGCTTACGTTTGGGATTTCTTTGAATTCGCGCCTTCACAGCTTTTATCACTGCTGGAGTCCTAACAGACCGAGGGCGGCCACTTCTTGACCTGTCATTTACACTAGAGTCTTCATTGTATCGTTTGATGGTACGATAAACGAATCTTTTGGTTATATTCAAATTTTTCAGTATTTCAAAAATTAGAATTGGCGCATAACCGCAACGATGCAACGCAATAACTGCAACACGGTCTTCTTTAAGCGTCCACTCCATATTTAAAAATGAGTAAAATTCTAAAAAGTATACAGTTTTATTTAAAAAAAAAGTTTTTACTGTGTGACAATACTTATGACCTGACTAGGTATTTGTACGTTCATTATCGTGAAGTAGTAAATTTATAATATTGTTAAATTCTTATGTATACGTACATAGCACGTTGCAATTTTTGGCAAGTGTTGGTTATTAGGCCTACTTGGTAGTAAGTAGTAACTAATTCCACTAGATATAACTAATTTATATCAAAAAATATTTTTGGACCAGGGGTAAATTAAATTTATGCCCTGTTTACATTATTTCAGTCCAGCGATCGAATCCAGCGCTGGAATGCTTACTGGAAAAATGTGAACCGGTACTGGAATGCACTGAATCCAGTGAGCATTCCAGTCCAGTAACTAGACTAGCGGTCTACTTTTGAATCCAGTGTGACCAATCCAGTGTAACTGGAATAATGTAGATGGCCAATCCAGTGCCATTCCAGAGCTGACACGACAATTAAATAGTAAACACGTGTTGGTTGTTTTTGCGGACTGCGAAGAAGAAAAGATTTAACAATGGTGAATCGAAACTGATCTCTCCTTGAAATCATTGTCACTGTAGTGGACTCACTTCTACGGCTTTTAAATTACTGGAATATTGCAGACGATACAGATCCAGTCCAGCACTGGACTGGATTCTCGCTGGATCACTGGACTGGAATAATGTAAGCCGGGCATTCAGAACGACTTTCAATAAGTATTATTTGTCTATATTAAATAAAAAAAGTGTCTGTTTCGTTTAATCAATACAATATATACTTAGTAAATACGTCATCCGATGTGTTGATGATGAATATGGACGAATGCAACAACTGGCGTACTCTTGACAAGGACAAGGCGGAGACTAGTTAGAAGACTTTTAATAATCTTCGACGATCCTTGAAAGCCATGAGGTTTACTTAATAAGAAGTGTCTCAGAAATATTGACAGTGATTTTTAAGGCCTTCTAATGAACAACAACAATTGTAGAAATAATATGAAGGTCGGAGGTAGGTATGTAATTTTTTTAATACGTTATGCTATGGACTTTTTATAGCGAACTATAAACTATGTAGTTACCAAACTTAGCAATGTGTTAAGCAATGCCTGCAGAGCACCCACTGACAGCACCAGCAGAAGTGATGATACGTTCAGGGCGCACGGTGCGACGTCTGGCTGCAAAAGGTAAGTAAGTAATTTAAAGGTGAGAACGAGAGAATAAAGAAGAATAAAGAATGAAAACAAAAATGTAACATCTTCGAAAACATGAATAAAATAACAACTGCATGATAGCCCCATTAAAAGTATAAAAGTAGCAGCATACAGTCATTCCATTTATAAGTAAGTGAAGACAAAATATAACTACTCTTTGCGTTTATTGATAGATGGCGATGTTTTGAAAATGTATATCGTCGACGTTTCAAATTATTGCACAACGGTTTAAGGTGAATGCTCCAGGGTGGCCCGCAAAATACAAATTCAGGTTGTCTGGTCAGGTTGCATGTTTAACAAAATATGATTTGCAACCGTAGAGATTATGTGTTTACAGAATTGTTATCATTAAAATCACCAATAAGTTCATATAATCCCTTTGAATGAGTTTTTCTGGAAATAGCCATACAATGGGATTATACGAACTTAAAGGGTTGTATTGATGATTATAATGATTATAATTCTGTAAATACATACTATTTATGGTAGCGAATCATATTTTCTTAAACATACAACCTGACTCTAACCTGCAAATTCCGAAAAACGCAAGAAAATTTGAATTTCGCGGACCACCCTGGAGCTTTCTTCACCTTAAACAAAGATGTTTTATAGGTCCAGATACCGTGTACGCGCGTCTAAAATGCTTCCATTTCAAAGGCGCCAATACTGGCGTATTCGTTCGATCGTTCCGCCATTACGACAGCGACGTTCACTGTGAACATATGTCACGCACCGGTGTTTTTAATTTCGCAAAATGACTGTTTGTGCTGTGAAATCATGTAAAAATTACTCTTGGAAAAAAGATAAGGATAAGAATATCACTTTTCATAAATAAGTATACAATTTTACGGTGTATTTCTTTGCAAAAGAATACGAAAGCTAAATGTCAATACAAGTAATAATACTGCGCAATAATATTCGAGTGTTGCCTAGTTGCCTATGAAATGTTTTTACCATTTTTTTAATGTCATGATCAACCGGAAAGTTTATCTGTATAGGGGTTTTAAACAGTCTAATTTTACAGATTTTACCCAACCTATAGAGTGCAGTACTCTGTATATATTTAATAATAATAGATTATAAATATATGTTACGTACATAAATATCTACTGTGCTTTTCTATTTATTTATGGCGGGTGGAAGGAAAAGGGGAGATCTCCCGCCGAGCAAGGTGTTGTGCCCGGGGAGCGGCCAACGCTCCGAGTGGTAGCTTGGAGCTATTTTATATATACTGCTTTGATTTCATATCTTTGTTAGCGCGATTTAGGCTTCGATGTGTTTCGCTTGTGGCGTGACGACAGCGCCGCTACATATTTTTAACTGTTACATTAATTTGACGGCTCCGTGGCGCAGTGGCTTATTAATCAGTTGTTGCGCTGGGGGCCGCGGGTTCGAATCCCGCACGGAACAAGTATTTGTATGGCCTACAAATAATTGTTCCGGGTCTGGATGTTTGTCCTTGTGCAATTTATGTTTGTAAACTGCCTCCACGATACAGGAGAAAATCCTAGTGTGGGGGTAACGTTTTTTATTTTAAATAAAAAAAATATAGGTTTTATTATATATCTTCAATATTTTAGTGCGATGTTCGTACCTACATAAAACAAACATAACCAACCATTTGCCCATACACACATGCACACAAATGCACACGCCTCGCACACACATTTTATACTCGTAGAATCAATAGGTACGTCAATATGAATGAAATATAAAATCTCCCACATTTTTTGGGTAATCGATTCGCACTGTTATTACCGAAGTTACGCACATTAATGCAGCCATGGTACGTAAGATATGCGTGTCACGTGGTACTCACACACACATGAATCAAAGACTGGCATCACTATGAACGGTGCGGTGTGTTCGCAACACGGTATCTGGACCTATAAAACATCTTTGACCTTAAAGCTAATTTTAAACTTTATTAAAAAAATATTGAAATTGAAAATTGAAAAATCTTTATAGCTTAGTATTTTTTAGTTTGTGTAAGCGTATGTGTATTTGTATGGGTATGTATATATATATATTTATACTAGCTGGGCCCCGCGACTTCGCCCGCGTGGAATTTACTACGATTTCATGGATATCAATTTTTTTGCGCGGAACCCTAAATTTGGTTTTTGAGAAATGTTACCATCGTATAAATATTGAAAAATATTAACATTAATATATATACGATACTAACGTCACTCAATTGTTTTGCCTTCCCGGAACCCCTCCACTAACACTTAAACTTTATGATATGGTATTAAAGTTCAAAATGACTTTAAGTATTACACTTTTACACTTATGACACTAAAGTTTATTCAAAATTACCTCCGTGATTTTGAATACAGGCCTTCAATCTGCGCGGCCAGTCGTCTATCGCAGCACGAACGAGGTCCATGTCAATATCGGCGGCTGCCTTAATTAAGGATGTCTTGAGTGGCTCCAAATTGGGATGAGGCTTTGAGCACGCCTTTTCCTCCAAGTGTTGCCATATCTTGTAATCTAATGGATTCAAATCTGGACTGGAGGAGGGCCAGTCTTCATGCCGGATGAAGTCGATTTCACGCGCCGACAGCCAGTCTTGTGTGCTCTTCGCTCTATGAGCTGGCGCCAAATCTTGTTGGATTACCCAGTGCCTGTTTATGAACATGGTATGAGAAACAGGTTCCACAAGGTTCGTCGGGACTGTATTTTGATACACAACTGCATTCGTTTTTACACCTTTCTCACAAAAATGTACCTCTTTTAAGCCCCAATAAGAAACTCCCAACCATACCATGAGCGAGGATGGAAAATGACCTCGTTGGACACGCGGAATACGGTTGCTCGCTTCTTTACTACTGTGTGCGTACACCTTATCATTTTGTGTGTTGTAGCTCTCTTCTACGGTAAAAATTTTTTCATCTGAAAAAAGAATTTCTCGATATTTTTTCCCGCATACCGCTTCAACAAAGCGCGGCATCTCTTCAGTCTCTGGTCCATTAGACGAGCATTCAAACGATGTCCTGTTTTTCTTCGATATGCCCGAAGCCCTAAGTCTTCATTTAACACCCTTTTTACCGTGGTTCTGCTTAACCCCATCTGAAGGGCCAACAGTTTCTGCTTACGTTTGGGATTTATTTGAATTCGCGCCTTCACAGCTTTTATCACTGCTGGAGTCCTAACAGACCGAGGGCGACCACTTCTTGACATGTCATCTACACTAGAGTCTTCATTGTATCGTTTGATGGTACGATAAACGAATCTTTTGGTTTCATAAAAATTTTTCAGTATGTCAAAAATTTGAATTGGCGCATAACCGCAACGATGCAACGCAATAACTGCAACACGGTCGTTTTTAGCGTCCACTCCATATTTAAAAATGAGTAAAATTCTAAAAAGTATACAGTTTTATTTTCATGAACAATTCGAAATTCAAATTCAATAAACTTTTTTGTGGCAGCATTCGAAAATAAAAGTTTCTACTGTGTGACAATACTTATGACCTGACTAAGTATATATATATATATATAAATTAGAATTGCAGACTCGACTTTTATACAGAATTAACAAAAGTATAGATGTTGATATATGATCTTTAAAATATATGAGATTGTACCTTTATGATATAATATATAGTGCAAGCGAGATGGATATTATTCCATCTCGCTCACACTATAAAAAGGGAAAAATGTTACAATTTTTCTCGCCTAGCCCCCATTCGTCAAATTCGTAACGTGCGATATGGAACTTCGTTCCAAAAAAACGTGTAATTTTTAATTTGCATACTTTATACTTTATGAATAATTTTTATTTAATGTTTGGGAAATTAGCCTTTAGCCCTAAGTTAATTTATTCTAAAGCTTTTCAATGTCCAAGTTATGTGACTGAATATGAGCATAGTAATTTTAATTCGATGCTTGAAAAATCAATTTTAAAAAGTATTGAAACTACTAAAATTAAACATAAAAACTACTAAATATATATAGTATGTAATTTATAAGCTTCTCAATTACTCTGGTGTAGTATTCTCCTGCTATGGAAACACGTTTTTGTAATTATTTACGTGTATTCTTTCTACAAAACTGTGGTTGTGCGATTTTCGTCCGATTTGGATCTTCCTTGATCTTCTTCTCTTCTCCTCCACTAATAATAATCTATCCCAAACTTATTTTTGTTTCCGCTACAAAGGCTTCTACAAATAAAATAAATAAATAAAATAAATAAAAAAAACTAAAATTTCTGCAAGTTATTTATATTTTTAACGGGTTTCAAACGACATCTTCCAATACAAACATTTCAATGATTTCGCCTTGGGGCCGATTTATCAATCCTCAAATATAAGTTATTCTTGAAATAAATTATAACTTGCCTAAGGTTCAGTTCACACCCACACACGACGCGACTCGACGATGCTTGAAGAGGGTAGTGGTTTCGGATCGCGCAGAGCGCCGCCACGAGACGTATCGTGACGTCGCGAGGCGCATCTTGAAATGGCTGGCATCGCACCGCTCTTGGCCGCTGCGCTTACCGAAGATGCACCGGTGTGTCGCGAATCGCGATGCGTCGCGCTACGACGCGAGGCATCTCGAGGCGCAGCGCGACATCGCGCTGCGAGACATTTTCGAATTATCTCATATCTTTTTGTGTAGTAAATAAAGTTATATTTAGTATTACTATCTTAAAAAAGTGCGCGGCGTGTCGCGTCTCGGTGTGAACTGGCCCTAAATATAAAGATAAAACTATTAAGCAATTTTATTCATAGATCTATAATTTTTAACTTGTTTGCGTTATATTTTATGAAAGAAATAACTATTATTTGACGATTGAAAATCAGCCATAAAACTCGATATATAAAGGCGTTTAATATTACACGAGCTTATTTATCCGCCCTTATTACCTTAGTATTATTATCGTATTAATTCAATACAAAAATAACACTCGGATTCTTCGTATTTCTCGACATATAAGACATTTATTAAAAGCCCCTTTTTAGGGTTCCGTAGCCAAATGGCAAAAAACGGAACCCTTATGGATTCGTCATGTCTGTCTGTCTGTCTGTCTGTCCGTCCGTATGTCACAGCCACTTTTTCCGAAAATATAAGAACTATGCTGTTGAAACTTGGTATGTAGATGTATTCCGTGAACCGCATTAAGATTTTCATACTTAGAACTGAAACGCAACTTTCATCAAACCCATACGTGTGGGGTATGTATGGATGGGTCTTCAAAAATGATATTAAGGTTTCTTATATCATTTTTTTCTAAACTGAAAGTTGGCGCGAGAGACACTTCCAAAATGGTAAAATGTGTGTGTGTCCCCCCCCCCCTGTAACTTCTAAAATAAGGGAATGATAAAACTAAAAAAATATATGACGTACTACCATGTAAACTTCCACAGAAAATTAATTTGGACGAGATCTAGTAAGTAGTTAATACGTCATAAATTGTAAATTATGTTAATTGCTGTTACGGAACACTTCATAGGCGACTCTGACTCGCACTTGGCCGCTTTTTAAAACTTACATCAACTGGCACTTCTACACTATCACTGATAATGCTGCACAGACTCCTGTCTGTGCCTACTCCTGTCTCCACGATCTGCATGAACTGATTGACAATTGTCGGCATCCAGACTGTGAACGCTGCAACTCTGCATAAAAATATTTACATACAAAAGAAAAAAATATTTCTATAATACGAGTAATCAAATTCTATATGTATAAACTATAACTATATTGTTATTATTATTACATTATCAAATATATTGTCACAAAACTATAATATTATAAATATAAATACAATCTATATAAATAATATTATTATTTCGGCTATTATCCACCGCGGCGAGGAATTCTAAGCCATCGGTGAAGTTAGGCATCCAAAGATATTTAATAAGGCCGATTTTTGAATTATTCCCTTCAGCCATTTGCCCAAACGTAACTTGGACAGATAATCATCCATGTATCCAATAAGCCTACTGACTGATACAACTATTGGTACAATAATAGTAGAATCAACGTCCCACATAGCAACAATCTCATGAGCCAAGTCGATATATTTTATTTTCTTATCATTCTCTGCTTTCACGAGATTCTCTTCATGACGAACACTGATATCTACTATTATTGCCTTGCGTGTAGTTTGGTCTATCACCACAATGTCAGGTTTATTTGCCACTATAAACCTGTCTGTGATGATTGACCGATCCCAGTACAGCGTGACACTTCTATTTTCAAGTATTGGCTTTGGTTCATACTTATAAGATGGAACGTCCTGTTGAGTAAAACCAAATTTAATGGCAAGCTGCTGGTATATTATTCTAGCTACTTGGTTATGTCTGTGCAAATATTATTATTATTATTGGGTTATCTATAAAGTTTTCTCCTCTGTTGGGTTGTTTAAATATATATAATTATAAACGAAATATATAAACATATATAAATATCAATAAAACATAATAAATACATAAATATATAAAAAACCCAACCAGATGGAAGCCCTCGGCAGGGGAGACCAAACGGCCGAGGCTTAGGGGGGAAAGGGAAAGAAACCGGCGGACGATGCGGGCGGTATCGAGGAGCACCGTCTTCTGCATTTGAGCTTGGGGCGGTCCGTCACGGAGTCCCAGTCGCCTCAGATGACCCGAGAGGCTAACTGGGATTAACCCGTTCGCAGAAACGACCACAGGAATAATTTCGGCCGGCAGACCACCCCACATGTCGGTCAGCTCGTGAGCCAGGTCAAGATATTTTGTCAGCTTATCTGTTTCGGCTTTCACGAGGTTCTCGTCATAAGGAATGGTAATGTCGACCAAAATATACTTGACTGTGCCCGGTCCATCAGCACAATATCAGGCTTATTCGCAAGAATAGTCCTGTCTGTGATGATGGTCCGGTCCCAGTAGAGCCTGGCGCGGTCATTTTCGAGCACGGTTTCCGACAAGTACTTATAATATGGCAGTTTCCGTTTCACGAGACCCTATTTCAGAGCGAGCTCCTGGTGTAGAATCCTGGCTACTAGGTTGTGTCTGTGCAAATACTCAGAGTTAGAAAGCGCCGAACAACCGGAGATGACATGCCTAAGTGACTCACCGCTTTTGGCGACAAGCTATTATTATTATTAGACTATAATAATACTAACTATGTTATTAAGTTAGTTTTAGATCTCGACTTTACCGGTTTACTAAAAGAACGAGCCTAAGCCAAGTGTATATTAGTGCTAGATTTGATGATATCCTGTAAGCTATCTTATTCAGTTACCTGTGTGTTAGGTTAAGAGGTGATTTGCCCAAGTAAAGGTGTGGTCTGTTCTTCAGTTTGCAGGAACTTCCTAACTATTCTGCAAGTATTTATAATTACAGCTTTCTGTAACAATTTGTAGGTGTTGGGTGGTAAATTTATTGTCTTTACAGATTGTATTATTATCATTGTGGGTTATCTATACCTAGTCAGGCCATAAGTATTGTCACACAGTAAAAACTTTTCTTTTAGAATGCTGGCCACAAAAAAGTTAATTGAATTCGAATTTCGAATTGTTCATGAAAATAAAACTGTATACATTTTAGAATTTTACTCATTTTTAAATATGGAGTGGACGCTTAAAGAAGACCGTGTTGCAGTTATTGCGTTGCATCGTTGCGGTTACGCGCCAATTCAAATTTTTGACATACTGAAAAATTTGAATATAACCAAAAGATTCGTTTATCGTACCATCAAACGATACAATGAAGACTCTAGTGTAGATGACAGGTCAAGAAGTGGTCGCCCTCGGTCTGTTAGGACTCCAGTAGTGATAAAAGCTGTGAAGGCGCGAATTCAAAGAAATCCCAAACGTAAGCAGAAACTGTTGGCCCTTCAGATGGGGTTAAGCAGAACCACGGTGAAAAGGGTGTTAAATGAAGACTTAGGGCTTCGGGCATATCGAAGGAAAACAGGACATCGTTTGAATGCTCATCTAATGGACCTGAGACTGAAGAGATGCCGCGCTTTGTTGAAGCGGTACGCGGGAAAAAAATATCGGGAAATTTTTTTTTCGGATGAAAAAATTTTTACCGTAGAAGAGAGCTACAACAAACAAAATGATAAGGTTTACGCACACAGTAGTGAAGAAGCGAGCAACCGTATTCCGCGTGTCCAACGAGGTAATTTTCCATCCTCGCTCATGGTATGGTTGGGAGTTTGTTATTGGGGCTTAACAGAGGTACATTTTTGTGAGAAAGGTGTAAAAACGAATGCAGTTGTGTATCAAAATACAGTCCTGACGAAACTTGTGGAACCTGTTTCTCATACCATGTTCAATATAACAGGCACTGGGTATTCCAACAAGATTCGGCGCCAGCTCATAGAGCGAAGAGCACACAAGACTGGCTGGCGGCGCATGAGATCGACTTCATCCGGCACGAAGACTGGCCCTCCTCCAGTCCAGATTTGAATCCGTTAGATTACAAGATATAGCAACACTTGGAGGAAAAGGCGTGCTCAAAGGCTCATCCCAATTTGGAGTCACTCAAGACATCCTTGATTAAGGCAGTCGCCGATATTGACATGGACCTCGTTCGTGCTGCGATAGACGACTGGCCGCGCAGATTGAAGGCCTGTATTCAAAATCACGGAGGCCATTTGGAATAAACTTTAGTGTCATAAGAATCTATGTTTTGTTAAGTTCACTTTGGTATATAAATGGTTACATAATGAATAAACTTGTTTCAATTATTTTATATTAAACATGTGACAGAATTTATGACCTGACTAGGTATATAGTTTTCTTATCTGGTTGGACTGTATAAATATATAAATGAAATAATAATAAATGAAAATGATAAATATACATAAATATCAAGAAAATAAAATGGGCCAAGGGTTAAGTGTTTTGAGTGCTGAATACTTTAATTTTTTTTTCTTACTTTTTTCAACACATTCATCCAACCCTTTAGGCTGAATTACAGTTATGGCGACCAGTCTCAACGGAGACTAGCCATTTATGCAGGACATTGATATATTATGTACGATCTTCGGTAAAGAGTGTCTAATAATGTTCTGTAATAGTACATATTACTCGTACATAACACTATTAGATATTCTTTGAAATTAATTGAAATGAAATAAATCATTTCACTTCATTATCATTTTTTTACTATTTAGAGCTACGCTGCAGCGTAATAAGACTGCAGCACGAATGAAGCTGTTCGACGGTGGAGGGATCACGCTAGCACTTTTTTCACTTTCCTTGTTACCTCTCAAAAGTAACTCCTTAATTTGAGATTTTTTAAGGTAAATATTAATTTGAATTAGATTATTATTATCAGGTCTTAATCAACCGCACTCTATAACGATGTCGAATTCCAGTCATCTCCGTAAAACTCTCGGTTAAAAATCTTTGTGACAGAGGCAGCGAGATGATTCCTAAGTGTTCCCTTTACCTAAAAATATGGTGACGAAACGATATCATGAAATATGCATGTATGTTAACTAGCGAAGTCCAGCGGATTAGTAGTTAAAGTGGTAATGGGCCTGCCATGTAGCTCAAAGAACCGACAACCGATGAGGGCGAAAAGTGGCAGGCTCATTCTGGCAAGTGTAGTGTTGGGTGGCTACCACTGGGTGGAGGCACGAACTGATTAAACATGCAGGTAGTTGATCGATGCAGTGGTTCAGGAAATAACTTCGTGGCAATCAACAAAGTGTACTAGTGATAGTCCGGAGTAGGTAAGTGCTAAGGATAATTTGCATGCTATCATTCTCTATTGATTAATTGTGATTACTCACTGTTGGAAAAGAAACAGCGTTGTTATGATCACAGTATATTTGAGAAGTGGTGCTTTAAATAGAGGCACGATCTGGTTTTTTGATGGCGTCGGTCCGTGAAGCTGTTGCGCATCCAACGTCAAACCATTTATCTGAAATGTGTTTTTTTTTTAAATTAGTTGCCATTATGATCAATATTTGTCGTCTAGTGGCAGTGTTAGAAGTTCCATAACACAATTTCGGTCCTGCAGTTTTGCCTTAATGACATAAAGTCAAGAAAGGGAAATTTACAAAATGCATATACCTGTGCATTTGGCACAGGCCTCCCTCAATTTTTGCGAAGTATATGAAGCAATTAGGCTGCTACGCTGCTTCAGTGAGTGTGTTGGTTGAATTTGGGTTGGGGGAAGCCTAAAAACGAATTAAATAAAAGAGGAGAAAAAATAACATGTATGTATAGTTCTATAGTAATAAAACCTTCATCGTCATAATTCCAAGTCTGCCCCAAGGAATGGCAAAACGGCCGTGTGCTACCTGCATTGATCAATTTCTTCTTCCATCCCTTAGATCGTCACTCTTTCTAGTGGGGCTCTATACTTCGCTTGTCAGTACAAGACTGAAACTGGAGAATTATTCTTCCCAATTGGTTGGAGGTTTTCCGAACTATATGGCCGGCTCATTGCCGTTGCAGTTTACTGACCCCTAATACTTTACAATCTTTATGTTATGATTTTTTGTTAAGAGCACGTGGTAAGTTAGCATTTAAAATTACATTTACTAATTTCATCGGTGTCGCATGGATCGAATTCGGGATGCTTGCGTACTATGAATTTTTTGGCGGACGTTTAGTCCCCGAGTTTTAGAATTAGGTATTGGTAAGTATTACAATACAATGTTGATGATTTTTAAGCGAGAAGTTAGAAAGCAGATGATAATTGTGTGAATAAAAGTTAACTGTAGAAGTTTAATATTACTTGAAAATCTTCTGCTGGTTTCCAATTATTCCATCTGTGTATAGTTTTTATAATATCTATAGATTCTTCTTCATGTCCTTTCGCAAACACATATTTTGGGCTCTCCTGTATGAATAACAGCAAGAGAGCAGCCAAAAGACTTGGTGTAGAGTAGACGAGGAGTAGAGTTCGCCAAGAGTTCCAGTAGATGCCCAAGCCGGGAAGATAGAAAGAGAACGGTAGTGGAATAATGGGTATGGCGATTACTGAAAGAATTGTGTTTAATATTAAAGTAAAACTTGACTCCTTGTTGTATCGCTTTCCTTAATAAACTATCGTTGTAAGACAAGAAATACCCTTTATCAATTCCTTCTTGTAAATTCATTTTAATATATTATCATCATTACAGCCCTTCACAAGTCCACTGCTGAACATAGGCCTCCCCCACAGAATGCCACAAAACACGGTCCTGAGCCACCTGCATCCATCGACTTCCTGCATGTCTTACCAGGTCGTCACTCCATCTCGTGGGGGGACGCCCTACACTTCGCCTACCGGTACGAGGCTGCCACTCGAGAACCTTTCTTCCCCATCGGTTGTCGGTTCTTCGAGCTATATGGCCGGCCCACTGCCACTTCAGCTTACTAATCCGTTGGGCTATGTCGGTCACTCTGGTTCTACTGCGGATATCCTCATTTCTGAGTTTATCACGCAGAGAAACTCCGAGCATAGCCCTCTCCATAGCTCGCTGAGCGACCTTGAGCTTCCTCATACGGCCAGCAGTGAAGGACCACGTCTCAGTTCCGTAAGTCATCACTGGCAACACGCACTGGTTGTACAATTTCGTTTTAAGGTTTTGAGGTATGTCTGACGAGAAGATGTGTCGTAGCTTCCCGAACGCTGCCCAGCCGAGTTGAATCCGTCGATTGACCTCTCGGTCGAAGTTGGACTTACCTAGTCGGACTATTTGTCCCAGGTAAACATACTCGTCAACAACTTCGAGCTTAGTGCTCCCAACAACTACCGGCATAGGTGTGACATGGACATTAAACATGATCTTTGTTTTGTCCATGTTCATCTTAAGACCTATCCATTGGGAAACACTATTGAGGTCATTGAGCATAGTGCTTAGGTCCTCCAGCGATTCTGCCATAAGGACTATATCGTCGGCAAATCGAAGGTGAGTGATGTACTCGCCATTGATGTTGATACCGTATCCTTTCCAGTCCAGAAGCTTGAAAACGTCTTCCAATGCAGCGGTGAAGAGTTTCGGGGATATGACGTCACCCTGTCTTACACCTCTCTGCAATTGGATAGGTTTCGTACTCTGGTTCTGTACTCGGATAGCCATCGTAGCCCTACTGTACAAGCACTTCAACACTTCGATATACCGACAGTCAACTTGGCACCGCTGAAGGGACTGCAGCACCGCCCAAATTTCGACGGAATCAAAGGCTTTCTCATAGTCCACATACGCCAGACATAGTGGCAAATTGTACTCTTCGGACTTCTGTACAACTTGCCGAAGGGTATGTATGTGGTCTATGGTGCTAAAGCCCTTTCGGAAACCGGCTTGTTCGGGAGGCTGGAAGTCGTCAAGTCTGCGCGCGAGACGATTCGTAATGACTCTCGAAAACAGCACGTAGACGCGGCTCAGAAGGGAAATCGGTCTGTAGTTCTTCAAGAGAGCGTTGTCACCTTTCTTGAAGAACAAGACCACCGCACTTCTGCTCCACGCCTCCGGTGTAATGCCACCATGGAGGACGGAATTAAAGAGCTTCTGAAGGACTTCAAGTACCGGTCTTCCACCCGCTTTCAGAAGCTCCGCTGTAATTCCATCCTCGCCTGGGGCCTTACCATTTTTAAGGTGCTGGAGAGCCATTCTAATCTCGCTCAGACTGACGTCCGGGATATATATATATATAATATATTAACATCATGATTTTTATATAAAAACTAAATAATAAAAACTTTTAGTAAGTAATAAAAATCGTCTTTTTTTAATATTTATTTTCAAAAAGGGGGTTTTGTCACACAGTGACTATGTCACCCCCGTAAACTATACACAAATAATGACAGGAAATTAACGATTGAAGACACACTAATACAACTACATACAATCAAGTTAAATTTAACGACAAAAATATATATCATGTTGCAATTCAATCCGGTGATATGATTACACTCATAGGTGGATAATATTACATCTTTCTAATCTCATATTATACTACATATAAATAAAGTTTGATTAGCATTTTGGCCTCTTGACAAAGTGGGGAGGATAGAATAGAATTGCAAATGCCTACATTATTATTATGCAAAAGTGACATATCTTGCCTATGTACCTCGTTCCGAACACACTCCGTCAAAACATGGTGCACATCTTCTACAATATCACACTCTGAGCAGTTAGGGAAATCTGATATTCCCATCAGATATCGGAACTTATTTGACAGGATGTGTCCTGAACGAAGTCTTAAAAGCGCTACAACATTCTTCCTACTTATTTCATCTTTTTCAAACCATGGGTAACAAAGAGGTTGACACTGAATTGTCTTGTACCATATTCCCTTACTAAATGAGCATTTATCAAAAAACTCTTGCCATAACTGTCTACAATCTATTTTAACCTCACGTAATAATCCGCTGTGTACTGGTAATATATTGTATGTAATACCGTCGCTTAAAGCTTGGTTCGCAGTTCGATCAGCCTTCTTGTTACCCGTGATGCCTGTATGAGCAGGTATCTATTGTATGATTACCACCTTATTTAGTCAATTGAGCTTACTAATGGAATCTAGGATACTGTAGGCTATCGGAAATCCTCGAATACTCGAGGGTTGCCGAGCCAAATGTAAAAGGGCACTTTTAGCATCGGATAACATTACAAATTGATTGTCATTCTAAGTTGTAACATAAGATAAAGCCTCGGAAATCGCGATTAGCTCACAGTGCATTATAGAAACGTCAGTCCTAATTTTGAATCTTACACATATATTCATCTGCTGGTCAACAAAGGCTGCACTGCATCCTGTTTTATCCTTTGATCCATCTGTGTAAATCTTATAGTGTGTGTTGTATTTACTTTTTAGGAAGTTGCAACATAAATTACGTAAACTACTTATATCGACATGCTTTTTTGGGCGTTCCATTCCATCAATGGTTGTCTTAATGTGATAAGATATTTCATATCTACTAATCCAATCGCTGAGAGAGTAAATCAATAATTTGGGGTCAGAGTGGATAGGAAAATTATAATACTTATTATGAGTTTGAACCAATAATGGAACTTTCTTTCTCCTCCAGTATACGCCCTGGCACTGACTATTTAATTCTTCTAGAACACGTATAGTTATATTATTTTTAATGGACCTAGACTTAAGGTAAAATTTTGCAGCAAGGTATCGTCTACGAATGGACAATGGTTGTAGACATAGTTCACTTTCCATGACGTGGACAGGGGTGCTTCTTATAAATCCGCCTATCACTCTCATCGCTTGATTCTGTACTTTATCTAGTTTATATAAATGACTTTTTACACTGCTATCATATAAAAAACAACCGTAGTCTAATCTGCTTCTAATTAAGGTCATATAAAGACGTCTCAAATGTTTTGGATGAACACCCCATTTGGAACCTGCTAAGACTTTAAAGATATTTAAAAATTTAAGTATTTTTTCCCTCGTTTCATTTATGTGTCTACCCCGTTTTAAGTTCCTGTCCAGCCACATACCTAAATACTTAACATTATCGACTCTTTCAATATGTTCATTACTGATATTTAAAGTAATATTATTACTGTTTGAGTTTCTCGAATGACCTTTTGTGAATATGCAAACTTTGGTTTTTCTATGAGAAATGTTTAAACCGATATCTGTTATCATAATGTTTAAAGCCGCTAAAGCATTTTGAGTAACAGAAACCGCATCGATTATATTTTTATGGCCAATATAAAGTACAAAATCATCAGCGTATTGAGATATGAATACTTGATTCAGATTTTTACAGATATTGATAGTTGCTACGTTAAATAATAACGGAGATAAGGGGACACCTTGTGCTATACCGGTTCTAGTATATCTACTTACAGGCTCTTCATTATTTAGTTCGATAAATAATCTTCGCAAGTGCAAGTATTGATAGAAGTAATTACATAATATTATGGTACCCACTCCTAGATTATATAACGCAGCTAAAAGACTTATAACATTTATATTGTTGTATGCGCCGTCGATGTCTACAAAACATCCTTCAGTGACGTTTCCGTTACCAAAACCACTTTGTATTCGTGATACTAATCTAGTCAAATTGTCCATGCAAGATCGTGACCTTCTAAAGCCTACTGTTTCCTCTGATGAATAGTTACTTTTTTCAATGTTCCATTCCAGTCTGCGCGTAATAATTGTATGAAATATCTTGCACAGACAAGATAGCAGGGCAATAGGTCTAATACCTGAATCTGAGATATTGTCAGTTTTCGGTTTCGGTATACGAATTATTTTCACATCTCTCCATTGTCTTGGAACAAAGCTTGAAAACAAAAATCTGTTGTATAAAGATATGAGAATAGTTTTGGCAGCATCTGGGAGGTTCCTGATCATAGAATATGCAATGTTGTCTGCGCCAGGTGCTGTATCGGACTGTTTAATTGTGTTTGCGAGTTCATGTACCGAAACAGGTGAGGATAGATGAGCGTTCTCACTAGTAAACACAGGAGCCGGTGGATCTGCATAATCAGGTGCTAAGCTACATAGTAAAGAGTCAGCTAACTTACGGGGAATATAACTTTTTGCTGTCTTGCACCCCTTTAGCCATCTCATTTTAGCCCATATTTTGCTTGAAGTTGATCTACTATCAATGCTTTCACAAAAAAATTGCCATGACCTACCTTTACTACTACGGATAATTTTTTGTGCCAATCTGACCTTGTTCTGTAGTGTTTCTAAATTTATTGGTGTGGAGTTTTTCCTAAAAACAGCAAGTGCTCGACGTCGTTCTGCTACAGCTTTTGAAATATCCGAATTCCAATATGATTTAGGAGTAAATTTCTGTTGGTGAAGAGGGTTTTCACATATTTTGATGAACGGGATACACTTATCGGCTGCCCCATTAATAATATCAATAAAAGTGTCATACACAGACTGGTGGTCACCTGATGATAATATGAAGCCTTCTAGTTCTCTCTCTATGTATGTCTTGTACTTTGACCAGTCCGCCGTTTTGAAATTGCGTTTTCTTTTATAGGAATTGGATGTGCCAACATTCG